TGATTTGGCTACAAATTAAAGTTTATCAAAGCACTTCCCTATAGTTTTATACTTGTTGGAATATGTTAGTTGGGTTTTCCCACTGATATGGATGAGGTTCTGTTGCTCTCTGATAAACTTCGCACTTTATCATTTTGTGCATGATGTTAATAAGAGGATTCTTTCTTCACACTACTATTTCATCTCTTTTGGTCGTCAATGGGCAAAAAAATTCATTTGATAAGTTGTGGAGGGCAGCTGCAGCAGTTTCTTTTTTAGCATATTGGTATTGGTATTGGTTGTGGCATTGCAAATGGCAATAGCAGTGGAAATGGCAATAGTATAGTTAGTGGCAATGGGAAAGGAAGTGCAGGCTATCTGATGGTTATAAATATATCTAAATGCATTTCTAAACATATTCATGTCTAAATGCATTTCTAAACATATTAATTAATTTGATTTGCTAAAATTTGGAACACGGTGTTTAGTTGTAGTTTCTGTGATGGAATTTGCCTCCGGTTTTAAGCAAATTGGTGAAGGTATTAGCTGCAGTTTCTGTGATGGAATTTGCAGGAATTTTTGTGATGCAAACTGCAGCTAATAGCAGCAGTTTCTGTATTAGTTGCAGTTTGATTAGTTGTTCCTTTTGAATGGCAGCAGTTTGACTTGCTCCAGTTTGATTAGCTTTCCCGTTGCAGCAACTTGTAACCTGACACATCAGTGGCATGTAATGGTTTGTATTTGCTGCAGTAGTTCATTCATATATAGTAGCTGCAATTTGATTGCCTACACTTTTTGTTTTTGGTTCCTGTTATAGTGCTATGCAACCTTACACAATTGCTTTTAATAAAACATTTGTGGTTTTTCTTCTATGGATGTAGGGCATTGACCAAACCACATAATTTTTTATGTGTCATTGTTGTTAGGCAGTATTTTGTGTTAATATTTGGTTTGAAAGTGAAATCATATCAATATTTGGTACACTACCTGCTTGCTGTAGAAGTTTGGATTTTCTTCTTCTTCTTCTATTTGAGCTTGGGATTCTTTGAATTTGGCAGTTGCAATTCGGCAGCTAGAGGATGTATTAAACTGGTAGCTGCAATTTTTGTAGTTGTTCAGTATGGAATTGTGTGATGCTTTCTGGACTTTCAAATTTGACAGTATATTCATGAGACTGCACTATATTTCTCATAACAGTTGTGTGATGCTTTTTGGTAGTTGCAATTGTGTGATGTTTTCTCAAAATAGTGGTGTGATGCTTTATGGAAATAATTTTGTGATGCTTTCCGGTAGCTACAATTGTGTGATGCTTTCTCAAAATAATTGTGTGATGCTTTCTGGAATAATATTACATATTGTGGAATTTGGCAGCTGGAAGAAACTTTTATGTTCTTCATGTATTCAAATTTTCTTATGCATGTTGAGTTACAATATAAATTTCTTTATGCATATGCAATTCTTCATATAGTTCCATCATGGCTAAGACAAATGAAGGTGTTCCGTCAGCGATGTGGGATAAGGAAGTTACTAATATTTTCTGCAATCTCTGTATCACCGAAATTGAGATCGGGAATAGGTCAACCACATATTTCAACAAAGAAGGTTGGCAGACTATAGCTAAAAGGTTTAAAAAACTGACTGAAAGAGATTATGACAGACTGAAGTTTAAAAATAAATGGGATCAATTAAAGAATGAGTGGAAAATTTGGAAGGAGCTGAAACGTGGATCCACGGGGTTGGGTTAGGATCCTATTAAACGAACAATTGATGCTTCAGATGAATAGTGGGCCGAGAAATTAGAGGTAAAATAGACATTATTATTATGTTTATTCCAAATATTTTTTTATTTAACCAATTACCCCACTAAACCCCCTCCTCAATGTAATGTTACAGGCAATGTCGACCGCAAAAAATACAAGCAGAGCGGAATTGAGCCGGATTTTGAAAATAAACTTGACATAATGTTCAAGGGAGTTGTGGCAACGGGAAAGCATGCATTCATCCCTAGAGAGACGGGTTTTGTAAGAATACCAGATGATTTCCCACTAGAGTCGGTGACAGTTGAGGAAGAAATACATAGTATTAACCAGAGGGAGATGGGGGGAGTCAAGCTCACTGTCGAAGAGGCCCAGACTAGGAAGAAGAAAGAAAGAAAATGACACTTTTGTAAAAACTTCATTTGACCGACTCATAGATGCTTTTGGAGCTCCACCGCCTAGCTCCACGCTTTTGGAGCTCCACCGCCTGCTCCAGTTCCTAACAGCACTATCTCGAATTGTCTTTGAACTTTGTCTACTATCCCTGAAGTAGTTACGAATAGGAGTTTCCATGCAATTTGTATTAAAAAATTAGAGGATCCAACACGTAGGCAAATATTCATGGCGATGGAACCAGAGTTGCGCGTCAATTTTTTGTGTGTTCTTGTAGATGAATGAGTTTTTCTATGTTTTCTTTTGTTGTATTATGTACTCATGTGTTATGTACTCATTTGTTATTTGGAGTTTTTTTTTAAATGTACTTCTACATGATTCCAGAATGTCTATTAGTAGAGCTCTATATATTTTTATTGTAACTGGGTGAGTGTTCTCAATTGTTGAATTAATCGACATCTTTTTTCCTTTAGGATGGATCAGTAACATGAACGTCGTAAGAGAATGGAATAGGTTGTAGCTATTGCCATATTATTGTTGGAGTATTACAGATCAAGTAGTGTTCGTATACCCCGTATAATCTCCAGCTTTGTTGGGGATAAATGGGTAGGTGAGATGTTTTCTAGAAATCCGATTAGGTTCAGCAACATATTTCGAATGACTGTATCGATATTTATGGATCTCCTGCAAGAGTTATCACTAAATCACAGACTCCAAAATTCTTCTAGAACAACGAGAAGGGAGGTATTGGCAATAACACTATATATTGTCACAAAACGAATAAATTAGAGGTGTTATGGAGAGATTTCAACATTCATCAGAGACAATAAGTCGTTATTTCTCCAAAGGCATACAGACACTTGTTAGCTTAGCCGCTAAAATCGTCAGGCCAGAGGATCCATCATTTGTTAATACTCCGGGACAAATCACAACCGATCCTCGTAACATAACTTACTTCAAGGTAAATATTATTTTATTTACGTAAATACAAAAATATAAATATTTTTTAACCCTGTAAAATAGAATTGCATAGGTGCAATTGACGGTACTCACACTGATGCCCGACTATCCAGCAAGGACAAGGTGGCTTACATTGGTCGAAGTGGTTCAACCACTCAAAATGTCATGGCGGTATGTGATTTCAACATGTGTTTCACATATGTTATGGCGGGCTAGGAAGCGAGTGCACATGGCAGTCGGATTTTCTCATATGCTACTAGGAATAGATCGCAGAGTTTTCCTCATTCGCCTTCAAGTATGTTTTGATTTATAAAAATCTTAGTTATATGTATTTTTTGGCAAATAATAATGTCATCCATAACAGGGAAATATTATTTGGTTAATGTTGGATACCCTATGCAGAGGGGCTATCTAAAGCCATATCCAGACACTAGGTACCATATTCCTGATTTTCCATATTCCTGATTTTAAGTGACATCATTCATGGTAGGAAAGAAATGTTTAGCATACGTCACTCCTCTTTACGAGAGGTAATTGAAAGAGCGTTTGGTGTTTAGAAGAAGAAATGGATCATCCTACGTGATATGTCGTTATATCTATTTGAAAAGCAGGTGCATATTGTATGACACTTCATAACTTCATCCAACGACATTCTTCATGTTCAGACATGGACTTCAATATGGCTGATAACGATAAGCTGAATGTCTATGAAGAACCATCAGAATTTTTGATTGGGCCCGTAGTTCCTGAGGATGAGAATGACTGTAATGAATTTGAAGTTCATGACGCGGAGGGTTTGACTGAGATGAGTGCTCTGAGGGAGTCTATAGCAGATGCTATCTATGGCAGCTAATCCACTAAGTCTATCTTTTCTTAAGTCTATCTTTTCTTCGTACATTATAGATTCATTTTGATGTGTATTTTTTGTTTTTTAAGATCTGACATTTGAGTTTTTTTTTGTTTTTTTTTTGGAGTTATACCAACATGACTTCTAGAATTTAAGTGACAGTCAGAGTTGTTTCGTGTTGCTGTAGACTACCGGCTCTGTTACTCACGTCGCGTCAGTCTTATAGCAGTGGGAGACAGTTCTATGGTTGTCGCAAGGGTGTTTCAGCTCGTTGCGATTTTTTCTGATGGGTCGACAGTCCCACATGTCACACTGCCAGCAATGAGGGGAATCCGATGTTTTCCCAGGTTGATAGTGCAGCTGAGAACAGGCGTAGTCAGAGTTTAAAATTGAATACTTTAATATTTCTCATTGTAGTTGTACTTGTCTTTATCTTTTTTTTATTTTTTCTGATGCTCACGAGAGTGTGAGAACTGTATGTCATCTTTTGGAACTGATCTGTGATGATTTTATGCTTATGCACTATATGCTTCTGTATTATATGTTTTTGTTCTCATTTTAGTTCTGTTTCAAACAATTTTACCAGACATGGGCAAGAAGGTCATTTATAAAGCAATAACTACCAATAATTTGTTCTGAATAAGTTGTCTCAAACAGCAAGCCAGAATAAGCTGTTTATCAGCAGATTATAAATAATCAATAGCTGCCCGAAATTTGTGCAATCCGGATTTAACAAATCTACCGCTTTATTTTGTCCAAAATGACCGTCTCGCAGGATTTAGGTTGCATCCCGCTTAAATCCGTTGAATTGCATTCAATAGAAAAAAACTAAGAATAAGAAAGGTTAACAACCCAAACAGCCAAAACTATAGAACTACAAAAATAAAACATGATCATTTATATAAGTCAGTTAAACCCCTCATTTTATGAGCATTTGAATTAAACTATTATCAGTTCTCAATTACATTCAGCAAAACCAAAGCAGAGAAGCAAAATAAATTGGCCGATTCATCGAACATAAACTGCAAAGTCTATAAACAGTTACAGCAAAATGGAAAGCAGACCTATCAAAGAACAGAACTTCGAATGTAGTAAGGACCAACCAGGACTCAAGATTTCGAAGCGACTGTGTTCGCTATCTCAGTTGGCCCTGGAGAAGAGCCTTCTGCCGCTTTAAGAGCTGCCTTCTGCTCATGTTCCCTCCATAGATTGATGCCCTTAGTGCAGACCACTGGAGGAAAAGCAATTTTCCAAACTTTTTTTATTGGGGCTGATTGTACGGTAAATAAGTAAAGGAATTTACGAAAAATTACGGTTAGCGAAGACAGAAGTAGAGAGCAATACCTCCGGCCCCGACGAACCAAAGGAAGCGTATAAGCTTGCTTCCGACCTCTTCGTTCACCATGTCTTAAGGGTTGAACTCCCGAGCGCTTTGCCCAAACAGAGGGTAACAGAAGGCAAAGGCAAACTTCACAATTCACCCTATTTATAGTCTACTATTTAAACATTTTTATATAACATAAAATTTTTAACATATAAGATCCAAAAAAAAAATTTCTTCTCTTCTTGAATGAGATGAATTTTTTTTTTCTTCTAGTATCAAGTTGCAAACCGAACTTTCCCTTATTTGCTCATTAACAGGTTGTTACACGACTCTTGCAATCGTGTTTTGTCGTATTCTCAATTTTGACGTGATCTTTCCTTTTTTTTTTTATTTTGCTCTTGTGGGTCTCACAATCAAAATTTTGAGTCTTGCTCTTGTCGAACTTGCTCCTATTATAACAATAAGGTAAAGGTATCACAACTCTTCCTTGCAATAGCCACCCACCAAGTAGTTCCCTATCCCTCTTCTCCCTTCTCCCTAACTTAGCCAAAGGTAGAGAATTGAAACCCTCTTTTCACCTTCTTCCTCCTTCGGCCTGTCTCTTCCTCTTTCTCCTACTCAGTCGAAATTTACTGTCAAGAGCTTACTTCCTTATTTAATTGAGAGAGACGCCGACGTCACTATCCTTCTTCTTCTCATTCTTTGTTGTTTCCTTAAACTTAATAGAATTGAAAAAGAGATAAAGGCAAAGGAGGAGGAAGGAGATCTCCATGTAACAAAAGAGATAAAGCAAAGGAGGAGAGACTTGAAAGTAAGCAAGATCAGAGTTACAAGCATATTTGGCAAGCCAGTCAGTAGGCCAGTTGCCCTCTCTGAAGATGAAGGATCACTGGACATTAAAAGAAGAATAGATCCTAGAAGCTTGCCTCAGGATATGAAGGATTTGCCATGTAGCTTTAGAAAAGTCCTTGCATTCATGCCAAAGGGCTAGTGAGTCCATCTCAATGATGATTTGATTCCACTTGAATTGAGCAGACAGCTTAACAGCAGTAAGAAGAGTCATGGCTTCAACAACAAGAGAAGTGTCTGCATGGACAGAAGACCCAAACAATATAAGAGGCTTCTCTAAAGAATCTCTGAAAACAACACCAACAGCAGCTCTGTTGGGAGAAAAAACTACCATCAATATTAACATTTATCCATTCCTAAAAAGGTCTTTTCCAAAAAACCAGGATTGGTTTCCTAGCAAGAAAGGATAAGGCCATGTAAAAGAGACCAAAGAGGCAGCAATTCATGTCTGAATTTATCCTTGAGAACGGCATAGTTGAGTATTTTCTTTATTTAACTAACCACATAGGCAATAATTACATGAATGTCATTATCTTTGAAAGGCTTCCAATATTTAACATTATTCCTAGCCATCAACCAAGAAATTTAAATAAAAAGAGTTTTGATTATAAGATTAGAAACTTTTGCCCAGTTTATCACCAAGTTTGAATAGAGAGCCAAGTATTAGAAGGAAGTATATTCTCTATAAATTTATAGAAGAATTGCCACACACCCACAACTATTTTGCAAGACCAGAACAGGTGAGAAATAGATTATACCTCCTCCCTACACAAAAAAATAGATAGAAGGGTCTCTCAATCCCTTAAGCTTCAGGATATCATCAGTTGGTATATAGGAATGCATAACTCTCCAGGCAAAAAAGGATATGGAAGGCTTGAGCAGTGAGTTCCATATCCATTTGAGATTTAGTGCAGGAACAGCCTTAACATAGATAAATTCCACAATAGATTTTGTAGTGGATAGAGTAGAAGAAGCTTTAAAGGTCATTTTATCTTTATCAAATCTGTTAACATGAATCTTGAGATAGCCACAACATCCTATGAGGAGACCAATTGAGACAGCACAATCATATTCCAACCATTTTTGTCCCAGCAATCTCTAACAATTAGGGAATGATCTAATTAACCATCATATGAAAGAGCAAATGTTCCTCATGAGGTCCAATCATTGTACCAAAAACTTAGATCTCTTATACATAATTCCCAACAAATCATCTATTCAACAATATCCCTCACCCCTATCATCTACTTCCAAATAGCTGAATCACTTAGCTGAATTTGATAATTGCAAGGATGTGATCCAACACAGTCTTTTTGCCACATATAGTCAGCCCTAAGAGAGGATATTTCTCTATATCTAATACAAAGTTTAATTGAATTAATCTATATAATTTCTGAAAGGTTTTGAGCTCCTACCCTAACGTCATTTAATGGCTTACACATTTTGTTCCAGCTGATCCAATGAATCCAGGATGAGAATGCACTCCACAAAAATCTATTAAACATTCTTTAATTTTTCTTCATAACTGAAATAGACAACTTGAATATCTACAAGCCATATAGAGGAATGACAGTAAGTGTAATTTTTAAGTAGGGTGAGCCTAGCGCCATGAGAAAAGAAGCTATTTTTCCAATAAACAAATCTCCGAGAGACCTTATCAATCTGCCCATCAAACAGATGACACTTCATTTTCCCCTTTTTGATCTTCACCCCATGGTAAGAGATTGGAAGGGCGCCTCTCTGAAACCCAAAAATATCAGCAATACATTGTTGACTAGCAGTTAAAACATTCTTATCAGTGTAGATTGAGCATTTTTTTTTACTGAACTCCATCCATATACCTGCCCAAAGTGGATAAGAAAGGATAACAACTTTCTAATAGAATGTATAGAAGCATTAGAAAATATGATAAGGTTATCAACACAACTTTGGTGTGATATTAGAGGAGACCCCCTGCTTCAATATATCAAATGTTGATTGGAAGAAAATAATTCTTGCAGACCTTGTGAGAGATATTCAAAAGCCAAAAATAAAAGGATATGGGAATAGAGGGGCACCTTGTCTGATTCCTCTGGAAGTTTTGAAGAGCCCATGAGACTTCCCATTAATAATAATGAAATATTTGTTGTTGTCCAGTAGGAGCTTAATGAATGGTAGAACTGTTGAGAAAAACCACCAGCATACATTATAGGTAGTATGAAATCCCATGAGAATATGTCATATGTTTTTTGGATATCATTCTTAACGATCATATTTCCTCTACTACAAGGTTTATCCAAATTCAACATCAATTCTTGTGTAATAGGTATATTATCAGATATTAGCCTACTTTTAACAAAATCATCTTGGAAGGGGATGATTAAAGAGAACAAATGTGGTTGTAGTCTAGCAGATAACTTTTGAAATTGTAGCAGATAGATATATGGGTTTGAAATATGTCCATCTAAGAGTAAATTGAAGCTTGGGGATGAGTGTGATGATTGAGGTTTTAAGGAATCTATGCATATCTTGACCATTAAAAAAACTTTGATAGCAGTAGAAATATCAAACTTAACAGTAGTCTAGCAAGCATTGAAGATATGATTAGTGAATCCATCTAGTCCTACAGTTTTTTATCCATCAGTATTAAAAGTGGAATCCTTAATTTTCTCATCAATGGGGGAGAATGGAAAGGTTGCTCAACCATTGTATCTGCAAAGAGATGATATTTGAAAGAATAAAGGCCATCATAAAGATCAATAGGGGTGGAGAAGAGTTGTTGATAGAAAGAAACACCTTCTTGCACAATTTCAGTTTTTTCATAGATTCAATAGCCTTCAGAAGATTTGATTTTTTTTATAGAATTCTTTTGTTTTCTACTCTTAATGAATGCATGAAAGTATTTTGTATTTCTATCCCCTTCAACAAAGAGGTGACCCACAACCGTCTAACTCAAAAATTATTCTTTATTCTGAATAACATCCTGAAGTTGTGCTTGAGTAAAAGAAAACTCAGTAAATGGAACTTTCCCCATTACACTGTCAGCTTCCAGTTGCTCTACAAATGATTCAGCTTGTTGAACCTTAACATGTACATTTCCAACAAACTCACAGTTCCATTTTTTGAGGGGCCCTAGTTAAGTTCTTTTGTATTTGCCATAAATTACACCATTAATTAGTACTTCTCTGACAATCTTAGTGAGTTTTCACAAATTCTTAAAAATCATGGTAAGAAGACCACACATTTAAGAATCTGACGGAGTATAGGGTGGCTTGATTGTTTCATGAGTTTCAAGTTGGAGAGGGAAGTGGTCAGAAGTGGTTCTAACAAGATTGAATACTTTAAAGTGAAATTGAGAATCAATCCAATAAGAATTCCCTAAGAATCTGTCAAGTCTTTGTAACATCTTTCCTCTTCTCCAAGTAAAAAATAGATATAGAGTATCCCAAATCAAATAAGCCAACATCCTGTAGGGTTTCAACAAAGGAAGTCATAACAGTTTGATTAGGGGTGCAGTTCCCTCTCCTTTCTAAGGCAGAATCAAGGGTATTGAAGACTCCCCCACCAACCATGCTTCTTGAATAAAAGAGTAGAAGTAGATTAAATCCTCCCAGAGTGAACTCGTAACCACCATGCAACACTTAGTTTACATAAACTGTGAGAATAAATTTCAATTCATTGACTGATACTCTCAGATGGATAAACTATTCAGTGGAGCATAAGCATTTAATAGCAGCAGGATCTTCCACAGCACCCAAATTTTATTGTTACTATTTAAAATCAGCTTAAATCTACCCAATCTATTAAGATATTTTTTATTATTTTCAAAAGCAATTAAAGTTTCCAAAATAGAGAAGACGTGCAGGTTATTAGACTTTATAAGCTCCAACAGTCTACTAGAGGCATTTGCATTAGATTTACCTCTAATATTCTATACAAGAAGCTTAAACATCATGGCTAATGAATTTTCTTGGATCCTATAGTGGTCCTAGGAGGTATTTTACTTGTAGATTCTTTTCCTTTATAGAAATACTTCAAGATTTTTGCAGAGGGGTTTAGTTGGAGTAACTCCCTTGTACCTTTGGTCCTTTCTTCCTTGACTTATGCAAAAGCTAATCTTCTTCCATAATTATTTTGGCATTTATTAGGTCTTTTGAAAGGATACCTTCAGATTCATAAGGGGACTCATGGGCCTCACTGTCAATGGAGCTACCAACCAACCCTTAATCAATGCAGGTGGGCCATGATTAAATTCAGAAATAACTTGGGCATTCTTAGTAACATGGAATTTTAGTTTGTAAATAAACACACATGTGTTCAA